GTGGAACTTCAGTTGTGTATACGCATATGTGTGTGCATGTATGTGCGTATGGCGTTTTGATGGAAAATTTATTAATCGTGGGTCATGGTTAAAAAAAAAAAAAGCCTGAGAATAAGGAGTTAGATCAAGAAGGTAGAAGGAATGTTGACATAAGTTGTGGATATAGGAGATTCTACCCATGTGGACACAGTGGAAGGATTTAGGGAGTTGGAGCAGGTTAGGATATGTATGTGACCAAAAAGCAGGAGTTTAGCTCTCTCACTTACCCCTGCTTTTACCATGTGATGTGTCTGCTACCCCTTCACCTTCCACGATGACTGTAAGCTTCCTGAGGTCTCCCTAGAAGCCAAGCAGATGGCAGCACCATGCTTCCTGTAAAGCCTGCAGAACCATGAGGCAATTAAACCTCTTTGTAAATTATCCAGTTTCAGGTATTTATAGCAGTATAAGAATGCCCTAATACAGAAAACTGGTACCAAGAAGTTGGGCATTGCTATAAAGATACCTGAAAATGTGGAAGCAGCTTTGGAACTGGGTAGTGAGTAGTGGTTGGAAGAGTTTGCAGGGCTCAGAAAAAGACAGGAAAATGAGGGTAAGTTTGGAACTTTTTTTTTTTTTTTGAGGTGGAGTCTTGCTCTGTCACCCAGGCTGGAGTGCAGTGGTATGATCTTGGCTCACTGCAACCTCTGCCTCCCAGGTTCAGGCGATTCTCCTGCCTCAGCCTCCCAAATAGCTGGGGTTACAGGCATGCGCCACCACGCCTGGCTAATATTTTTGTATTTTTAGTAGGGATGGAGTTTCACCATGTTGGCCAGGCTGGTCTTGAACTCCTGACCTCAGTGATTCACCCACCTCGACCTCCCAAAGTGTTAAGTGTCATGCGCGTCTGTGTGAAGAGACCACCAAATAGGCTTTGTGTGAGCAACATGGCTGTTTATTTCACCTGGGTGCAGGCGAGCTGAGTCCGAAGAGAGTCAGCGAAGGGAGATAAGGGTGGGACCGTTTTATAGGATTTGGGTAGGTAAAGGAAAATTACAGTCAAAGGGGGGTTGTTCTCTGGTGGGCAGGAGTGGGGGTTACAAGGTGCTCAGTGGGGGAGCTTTTTGAGTCAGGATGAGTCAGGAAAAGGAATCCCACAAGACAATATCATCCCTTAAGGCAAGGACCGGTCATTTTCACTTCTTTTGTGGTGGAATGTCATCAGTTAAGGTGGGGCAGGGCATTTGCACTTCTTTTGTGATTCTTCAGTTACTTAAGGCCATCTGGGAGTATATGTGCAAGTCACAGGGAGTGCGATGGCTTGACTTGGGCTCAGAGGCCTGACTCTAAGTTTACAGGCGTGAGCCACCACTCCCGGCAAGTTTGAGCCACCACTCCCGGCAAGTTTGGAACTTCTTTTTTTTCTCTGTCGCCCAGGCTGGAGTGCAGTGGCGCCATCTTGGCTCACTGCAAGCTCCACCTCCTGTGTTCATGCCATCCTCCTGTCTCAGCCTCCCAAGTAGCTGGGACTACAGGCACCCAACACCAGTTTTTTAAAATTTTTTGTAGTTTTAGTAGAGACGGGATTTCACCATGTTAAGCCAGGATGGTCTCGATCTCCTGACCTCGTGATCCACCTCCTTCGGCCTCCCAAAGTGCTGGGATTACAACCGTGAGCCACCGTGCCTGGCCAAGTTTGGAATTTCTTTAGAGACTGGTTAAATGGTTGTGACCAAAATGCTGATGGTGATATGGACAGTGAAGTCCAGGCTGACAAGGTCTCAAAAGGAAACAAGTAATTTATTGGGAACTGGAACAAAAATCACATGTTATGCCTTAGCAAATAACTTGGCTGCATTCTGTTTGTGCCCTAGGGATCTGTGGAAGTTTGAACTTAAAAATTATGACCTAGGGTATCTGGCAGAAGGAATTTCTAAGCAGCAAAGCATTCAAGATGTGGCCTGCTGCATCTAACAGCCTGTGCTGAGATGTGGGAGCAAATGAATGACTTAAAGTTGGAACTTACATTTAAACAGGAAGCAGAGCCTAAAAGTTTGGAAAATTTGCAGCCTAGCCATGTGGTAAAAAAATAGAAAACACTTTCTCATCAAGGAATTCAAGCAGGTTGTGGAGCAACCACGTGTTGATATTTGCATAACTGAAAGGGATCCAAGTGGTAATATCCAAGACAATGGGGCAAAGGCCTCAAAGGCATTTCAGAGACCTATGGGGCAGCCCCTCCTATCATAGGCCCTGAGGCCTAGGAGGACTGAATGTTTTCCTGAGCTGGGCCCTGTGTGCAACCTCAGAACACTGCATCCAAATGGCTCCAACTCCAGCAGGGGCTCAAAGGGGCCTAGGTATAGCTTGGGCTGTTACTTTGGAGGGCATAAGCCATAGCCTTCACAGCTTCCATTAGGTGGTAAGCCTGCAGGCGCACAGAATGCGAAAATGGTGGATTCTTGGTAGCCTCTGCCTGGATTTCAGAGGATGTATGGAAAAGCCTGGGTGTCCAAACAGAAGTTTGCTGCAGGGGCAGAGCCCTCACAGAGAGCCTCTACTAGGGCAGTGTGGAGGGGAAATGTGGGGTTAAAGGCCCCATGCAGAGTCCCTACTGGGGCACTGCCTACTGGAGCTGTGAGAAGAGGGCTACTGTTCTCCAGACTCCAGAATGGTAGAGCCACTAGCAGCTTGTACCCTGCACCTGGAAAAGCCACAGGCAATCAACTCCAGCCTGTGACAGCAGCCTCAGGGGCTGAACTCTGCAAAGCTATAGGAGCAGAGCTGCCCAAGGCCTTGGGAGCCCAATCCTCATATCAGCGTGCCACATGGAGATCACTGTGGAGTTTTATGATTCAATGACTGGCATGCTGGGTTTTGAACTTGCATGGGGCCTGTAGCCCCCTTTTTTGGCAGATTTTTCCATTTTGGAATGGAAATATTTCCCCAACCCCTGAACCCTTACTGTATGTTGGAAGTAAATAATTTGTTTTTTATTTTATAGGCTCATAGGTGGAAGGGATTTGCCTTGTCTCAGATGAGACTTTGGACTTCTGAGTTAATGCTGGAATGAGTTAAGACTTTGGGGGACTGTTGGGAAGGCATGGTTGTATTTTGCAATGTGAAAAGGACATAAGACTTGGGAGGGGCCAGAGGTGGAATGATATGGTTTGGATATTTGTCTCTACTCATGTTGAATTGTGTCCCCAGTGTTGGAGATGGGGCATGGTGGGAGGTGTTTGGATCATGGAGGCAAATCCCTCATGGCTTGGTATTATCTTTGTGTTGATACTGAGTTCTCATGAGATCTGGTCATTTAAAAGTGTATGGAACCTGCGCCCCCACTGTCTCTCACTTGTTTCTGCTTCTGTCATGTGACATGTGTGCTCACCTTCCACCATGATTTTAAGTTCCTGAGGCCTCCCTAAAAGCCGAGTAGATGCCAGCACCATACTTCCTGTGAAGCCTGCAGAACCGTGAGTCATCTAAACCTCTTTTCTTTATCAAAGAAAGAAAAGGAAGGAAGGGAGAGAGGGAAAAGAGAAAGGGAGACAGGAAGAGATGGATGGAGGAAGGGAGGGAAGGCTTACAACCATGAGGACAGGTGTTGGGTCAATGAGGGATGACTTGGGAGTCCTATGAAGACTGATGTACACTAGAATAAAGGATGTGATGAGCTTATGATTCAAAAGTATTTTGTCATAAAAGTAGTTCATTTTCTGTAAAAGAACAGAGTAAGGCCGGGCGCAGTGGCTCAAGCCTGTAATCCCAGCACTTTGGGAGGCCGAGACGGGCGGATCACGAGGTCAGGAGATCGAGACCATCCTGGCTAACGTGGTGAAACCCCATCTCTACTAAAAATACAAGAAAATTAGCCGGGCGAGGTGGCGGTCGCCTATAGTCCCAGCTACTTGGGAGGCTGAGGCAGGAGAATGGCGTGAACCCGGCGGGACGGAGCTTGCAGTGAGCCGAGATCGCGCCACTGCACTCCAGCCTGGGGCACAGAGCAAGACTCCGTCTCAAAAAAAAAAAAAAAAAAAAAAGAACAGAGTAAATATTTTAGCTTTGTAGGCCACTGATAGTCTCTGTTGCTTTAAAAAATGTGAAAACCATTCTTAGCTTGAGGGCTGGACAGTCCAGGGCCATACTTTACTGACCCCTGCTTGAACTAAAAGCCCTTAGAAGAAGCTCTGAACAAATAATTTGCATGAAATCTTAAGAGTTTTTCATGTATTATGATGTTCGGTAGTTTAGGTATATTAAATGCCTGACGTACGATATTTTTACTTACAATGGGTTTTTCAGGATATAACCCTGTTGTAAGTTGAGGAGCATCTGTATATTTTTATTTTATTTTTACTTTTTTTGAAATGGAGTCTTGCTCTGTCACCCAGGCTGGAGTGCAGTGGCACAATTTCGGCTCACTGCAACCTCCACCTCCTGGGTTCAAGCAATTCTCCTGCCTCAGCCTCCCAAGTAGCTGGGACTACAGTTGCACACCACCATGCCTGGCTATTTTTTATTTTTTATTTTTTTTGTATTGTTAGTAGAGACAGGATTTCACCATGTTGGCCAGGCTGGTCTCAAACTCCTGACCTCAAGTAATCTGCCCACCTTGGCCTCCCAAAGTGCTGGAATTACAGGCGTGAGCCACTGCATCCGGCCGAGCATCTGTAAATTAAACTTTCCCCATTCAAATTGCTGTGTGGTTTCTCTCTCCTGACTGGATTCAGATACAATGCTTAACAACCTTTCTAATTACAAAGGTATTACATATAAAATCAGACAAGCAAGAAGACTATCCATCCCACCTTCTAGTACTCTTGCCCTCCAGAGGTAGCTCCAGTTAATGTTTTAGTGCTAAACTAGATTTATTTTTGTTTTAAATAGAAAAATAATGCAGGCACTAGTAAAACAAAAAGCGATACAGAAAGGGAGAGAGTGAAAACTAAAAATGGCTTCCAGGCCCACTTCCTAGAGGTACCCACTATTAACATTTTTAGATACATCCTTCCAGAATATTTTTCCAGTTTTATTTAGGTATAATTAACAAATTAAAATTATGTATATTTCAGTTGTACAACATGGATGTTCAACATGTTTTGGTATACATATACTTTCTGATATGATAAACGGTTACCACAAGCAAGCTCATTAACATATTCAGAAATTCTTAATGTAGCTAGAAATGTAAGTGGTTTTGTTTTTTGTGTTTTGTTTTGAGACAGGGTCTCACTCTGTTGCCCAGGCTGGAATGCAGTGGCGCCATCTCAGCTCACTGCAACCTCTGCCTCCCGGGTTCAAGCAAGTCTTGCATCTCAGCTGCCCTAGTGACTGGGACTACAGGCATGTGCCACCACACCTGGCTAGTTTTTGTATTTTTAGTAGAGATGGGGTTTCACCATGCTGGCCAGGCTGGTCTCAAATTCCTGACCTTAAATGATTCGTCCGCCTCAGCCTCCCAAAGTGCTGGGATTACAGGTGTGAGCCACTGCACTCAGTCGTAAGTGGTTTTCTAAACAAATGAGACCACACCATACATACTGTCCCTATATTTCATACTTGGGCAAGGGGAGGAGAATTGACTTTTTTCTTACTGAAAATAAAAATGAGGATAAAAGTATGGTTGTTTACCAACTTATAGTAGTATCATGAATTTAGAATGGTCTTCTGGCCATTCAGAAAACTACTTAACTGGTAGGAATGAAATTCTGGACACTGACATTGATCTAGACACTCATATCAAATATAATACTATGAAATACTATGATATGGAAATAATATTATGAAATCACTAGAGATAAAATATTTTCTACCCAAGGAGACTGGATTCATAAGAAAATTCTAAATTATAGCATATGTTGATCTCTGAAAAGCCTCTGGAATAAAGTCATTTTTCCCTAACCCCTGTTTCCTCTTTACACTGGCAGTGGATAAAGGGAAAGTAAGTTAATTCTACTGTACCAAAGCTAGTTCAATATAGAAAACAGGTTCTACAAGGCTTAAGGAATATCTCTTGACCCACAGAAGATTCATGTGGATCCTGTGTTAAACTCGTTTCATCCATGTATGAAACCGATTCAACCATTAAGTTAGCCATTTATTATATAAATTGAACACTTCTTCCATATTGTGGCTTTTAGATAGATTGGCAGACCTGTCCCCAACCCCTTCCCTGTTGACCATGGACAATAGAGCGTTAGCTGTATCAACTTGATTGAAGGGTTTACCTTTAGCTGGGGTGGATTTTTCAGGGACCTCAAAGGTATTGGTGATGATTTATTTGTTGAGCTTGGTGGTGAGTATGCAGGACTGTTTTTTGTTTTGTTTTGTTCTGTTTTTTAGCGAGCCTTACACATTTTCTTTTGTATGCAATATTTAATAAAATAATTTTGGATAAGTTGGTTTTTAGCATTAATTGAACAACTTTTTTTACATCCTCAGTGTGCCACAAGACAAATTATTGATTCAGCAGTTTTTAGCTGAATCTTTTATTTCTGAATGATTGGAGAGAACGGCAATATCCATTTCTGGAGAATAGTTAAGTACTTAGATTGAGGATGTCTTTCTTTCATGACATTAAGCAATGCAATATCATCTGCATCCAAGAGCCAACTTAACATGTTCAGTCTAATGAGGCTTGGCAGTCGTAACACACATTGACTCAAAGACTTGACTGTTGTGGCCTGAGCTTTGATACACTCTGTGAAATGCCTGCAGATGTTCAACTCCTGCAAGTTTGGCATGTTGTCCAGTGCTCGAAAGAAATTTCTGTATCCTTCCTCTGTAATCTTGTGATTGATTGAAAGATTTAAGTTCTCAAGTTTCTGGAAACCTCCATTGATTGCTACTTTGGCTACAAAAACAAAATATTTATGAAAATAGAATCATAAGGACTTCCATTTCAATAATGGTGGACTAGGTTATTTCAACCAGCCTCCTCTCCCACCACCACTACTAGTAGGAAGTGCTCAATATAATTTTGTTTTTTGAAATGTGGTCTTGCTGGGTTAACACAGGCGGGTCTCTTTTTCTTTTTCTCTTTTTTTTTTTTTTTTTTTGAGATGGAGTCTTGCTCTGTCACCCAGGCTGGAGTGCAGTGGTACAATCTCGGCTCACTGCAACCTCTGCCTCCCAGGTTCATGCCATTCTCCGGCCTCAGCCTCCAGAGTAGCTGGGACTACAGGCGCCCACCACCATGCCAAGCTAATTTTTTGTATTTTTAGTAGAGGTGGGGTTTCACCATGTTAGCCGGGATGATCTCGATCGCCTGACCTTGTGATCCACCTGCTTCGGCCTTCCAAAGTGCTGGGATTACAGGTGTGAGCCACTGCGCCTGGCCATCACAGGCTGGTCTCAAATTCCTGGACTCAAGTGATCCTCCTGCCTCAGCTTCCCAAGTAGCTGGGATTACAAGCACATGTCACTGTGCCCAGCTTAATGTAATATTTTAAAAATATCTCCTTAAAAAACTCAAAGAGCTGATGGGTTAATAAAGAAGCACCTGGCAAAAATATAAGGGAGAAGCAGAAACCAAAGAAGTACAGCCAAGTCTTAAAGCACCAACGCCATTGTGCTGAGAGTTTCTCCATCCTGGACAAATATGAGCTTCTCTTTTGGTCTCACAGGAGGTCACATCGTGCCTACAAACCAGACTAAGTTGGCTGGTCACACTGGCTCACGCCTGTAATCCCAGCACTTTGGGAGGCCGAGGTGGGTGGATCACTTGAAGTCAGGAGTTTGAGACCAGCCTGGCCAACATGGTGAAACCCCGTCTCCACTAAAAATACAAGAATCAGGCCGGATATGGTGGCAAATGCCTGTAATCTCAGCTGCTCGGGAGGCTGAGGCAGGAGAATCAGTTTGAACCTGGGAGGTAGAGGTTGCAGTGAGCCGAGATCCCACTACTGCACTCCAGCCTGGGTGACAGAGCAAGACTCCGTCTAAAAAAACAAAACAGAAAAACAGAACAAAACAAAAAAACACAAAAAAACGAAAAAGAAAAATCCAGACTAAATTACAAGGGACTTCAGAAATTGTGGCAACTATGTCTTCCCCTTTTATAGAGAAGGGGGTGTGACATTCCTAAAGCCATGTCATCTGACTGTCTACTGCTATGCCCAATTTCTGTTGCCCAGAAGGGACCCTCCTGTTTGAGACGAAAGCCTCTGAAGGAAACGGAAGCTGGGCACACCCTGTGTTCTCAATGAACACAGGTTGACTAGACTTTGGAACGGGTACCGAGCAGAGTTTTTGTTGTTTCGTTTTGGGGTTTAAAAAAAAAATTTTTTTTTTTGAGACAGGGTGTCACTTGGTTGCCTGGGCTGGAGTTGCAATGGTTCAGTTATAACTCACTGCAGCCTAGAATGTCTGGGCTCAGGTAATCCTCCCGCCTCAGCCTCCTGAGTCCTAGCTACTCAGGACTAGCCACCATGCTTGGCTAATTTTTTCAATTTTTTATGGAGATAAGGTCTTGCTATATTGCCCAATCTTGTCTCAAACTCCTGGCCTCAAGCAGTCCTTCTGTCTTGGCCTCCCAACATGTTGGGATTACAGGCATGAGCCACTATGCCCAGCTTTGTTTTTAATTGCTAAACCTCATTTTTTTTTTCTAATTTGGGCAAAGGTTAAGTTTGGTTTCAATCTAGAATCTATGACTGTAGCTTGACTGAGGTTAAAGAACAGAGGTACTGAGAAAATGTCTTCAGCTATGTCCTGAATAGGTATCTTCAGTAACATTCAAGAGATATTTCTCATTCCCCCAAATGAAGGACACTTCTGGAGGGACTTGAAGACAGACTCAGGTCTTCCACATGCATTCCCTTCTTTCCCCTGTTTCAGCATAACGTCCACTTCCTATTGTGTGGTTAGCCAGTTCCGTGATGTGTCTGAATGCTGTCTCCCACAGGTAAAGTTTAAGCATTACTGACTACTGGCAAACAGTGGCCTCTCAGCTGTCCCTCAGAAGAAGCTACAGAAAAGTAAGCTTGCTTTGTTCAGTCAACAGATATTTATCGAGTTCCCACTGTGGGCCAGGCATACTCTGCTGGGTGCTGGGAAGAGAAAACACCCGCTGTCAGGAGGGAGAGGGACAGGGGTTACTGGCTCAAGAGATCTGCGTTGCGTGAGAGTCAAGTTCTAAGGAAGGCGTTGACCTAATGTAGTGAGAAGAATAAAACACAAATAATTTATAGTAAATGAGGATGAGAGAGACCATAAAATTTAATGTCATTAAATTCTTCCTCATAAGGAGGAAGAAACAAGGCCTTTAAGAAAAAAGGCTGTAGCCGGGCGCGGTGGCTCAAGCCTGTAATCCCAGCACCTTGGGAGGCTGAGACGGGTGGATGACAAGGTCAGGAGATCAAGACCATCCTGGCTAACACGGTGAAACCCCGTCTCTACTAAAAAATACAAAAAAATAGCCAGGCGAGGTGACGGGCGCCTGTAGTCCCAGCTACTCGGGAGGCTGAGGCAGGAGAATGGCGTAAACCCGGGAGGCGGAGCTTGCAGTGAGCTGAGATCCGGCCACTGCACTCCAGCCTGGGCGACAGAGCGAGACTCCGTCTCAAAAAAAAAAAAGAAAAAAGGCTGTAAGTTGTCATTGTTTTTTAGTTTTTTTTTTTTTTAGATAACATAAAATAACAGTGCTGAGCAGTAAGAAAATGAGATCCAGCCCTTGTAACACACCCGGCAAAGCCTCTCCATTCGGGCTTTTACTTTCCTCTCCAGTCTTTTTCTCACAACTCACTCCTGCCTTTTGCTCCAGATATTCCTTTTTTTCCCCCAAGTTCTTCAAATACATCTGGTTCTCTTTAACTCCAGGCTGTGACCTAAGTGATTACCTCTGTTTGAAATGATGTCTCAATCCCTCCTCTACCAACTATGTCTGGGTCATTCTTCCTTCAGGTCTGGACAGAAATCTCAGTTCCTCAGGCCAGGCACCGCGGCTCATGCCTGGAATCCCAGCACTTTGGGAGGCTGAGGTGGGCAGATTACTTGAGGTCAGGAGTTTGAGACCAGCCTAGATAACATGACGAAACCCCGTCTCTACTAAAAATACAAAAATTAGCTGGGTGTGGTGGTGTACGCCTGTAGTCCCAGCTACTCAGGAGGCTGAGGCAGGAGAATCGCTTGAACCCAGGAGGCTGAGGATGCAGTGAGCCGAGATCCCGCCACTGCACTCCAGCCTGGGCGACAGAGCAAGACTCTGCCTCAAAAAAACAAAAGAAAAAAAAAAAGAAAAAGAAATCTCAGTTCCTAAAAAAGGGCTCCCCTGGTTCCAAATTAGGTTGAGTCATTCTGCTATATGCAAAAAGAGCAGAGAAAGAATGGAGGAGAAGAATCGGGCAGAAGCTATATATTGGCCAAGAACTTCCCAAAACGGATAAGAGACATCAAGCACAGAGCCAATCAGTTCTAGAAACCACAAGCAGAGTAAATACAAAGAAAACCCACCAGGACACATTAGCATGCACCTGCTGCTGTTGTCTGCTCAGGTGGCCATCACAAAATGCCCTAAAATGTCCTGTCTCCAGATACAAACACATTGGGGGTTAGGGCTTCAACACATGGATTCTGGGGGGTACACAAGTTCATAGCAACTGCCACAAAAGAAAACAAAGAAAATAATCTTAAAAGCCACCAAAGGAGGGGGAAAAGATACCTCACCTTCAAGAGCACAACAAAAAGACGACAGCCGCCGAAACAAAAGATACTATGGAAGCTAGAGATGTGAGAGAAAATACGTGCCAAAAATAGAAGTCTATACTCACTGAAAAAAATATATTTCAAAAGCAAAGTAAAAGACCTTTCTAGGCTGGGCACGGTGTCTCATGCCTGTAATCCCAGCACTTTGGGAGGTCAAGGAGGGCGGATCACTTGAGGTCAGGAGTTCGAGACTAGCCTGGCCAACATGGTGAAACCCTGTGTTTACTAAAAATACAAACACTAGCCGGGTGTGGTGGCAGGCACCTGTAATCCCAGATACTTGGGAGGCTGAGGCAGGAGAATCGCTTGAACCCAGGAGGCAGAGGTTGCAGTGACCTGAGATCGTGCCATTGCACTCCAGCCTGGGCAACGAGCGAAACGCCGTCTCAAAAAAAAAGAAAAAGTAAAAAAGAAAAGAAAATTCAGTGAGCAGTACATATATGATTTTTGTACTCTCCTGTGTGTGTATTCATCTTCAGTTTTAAAAAGGAGTACTTAGGAGGATATGTGACCAGGTGTCTGAAACACCAGGTGACAAGAACACAGATTTGAGGGCTTGTATATCCACAAATGGGAGACCTTTTTGTACTTCCAAATCTGACCAGAATGCACCTAAATCCAAGAACGACACTAGAAGGGACAGTATGATAGTGAAAATGAGGAAGTGGGTTGAAAATTTCTAGAGGGACAAATGTTTATATAGACATGTTGCAGCAGAAAGCTTGGCTATACCACTGGCTTCCATGCAAGCTGAAACACTAGCTCACCAATTTCCACCACGCTGTCGTCATTCAACGTCTGGAAAAATGAGAGGACTCGGAGACAATGAAGCTGCTGACACTGCTGGATGATCAGTTTGGCCACTTGATAAATTGCATCCCCAGTAGGAAGGATCAATTCTTCCAGGTTACTAAGAGAACCTAAAATGTAGGCTGTCAGAAAAGACCAAAAAGCTATTCTCTTTGTACTTTTTGTTCCTGTGCAACAGTAATCTGAAAATCATGCATGGTCTAAACCTCATGCACAGTCCAGGAAACTCCATGTAGCAAAGAGGCCATTCCTCTTGCTCTCCCAGGGCAAGAGAAGGGCCGGCACATGCTTTCGTCTTCCTGGCTCCTCCAGACAATTCCTCCACCACCCCCTACCAACCAATCTCTCCTGCACTGAAGTCCAGGCTGCCAGTTAAATCTCCATTTCCTCATTTAGAATGAAGCTTTTCCTGACCTGCAGTTTCCTTTCCTAGCTCTGCAATGCCTTCAGCCACCTCCTTTCCCATTCCACCTCCCACTGTCATCCTCAGTGATTCTGCACCAGCCTCCCAGCCCTAAAGCCTCACAGTCCACCACTCTTAGAACCTTCCTTTTCACTTTGACTCCTTCCTAGCATGGCACACTATAGATCATTTGATCATTAGAAAGTTAACTTCTGAGGCCTCACGCATGGAAATATATTGATGTCCCAGGCTTATTTTCTTTCCCTGTCTCAGTTCTTGAATCAGCCAATTTTGCAAGGACCCTGGTTCCTTTAAGGAAGGACAGGATTTAGAAATCAGTATCTAGGCACTTGGTGTGTTCATTATTACTGCAGTACCTTCTAGTCTCTCCATTGACTGAACTGAGAAATATGTATGTGTGTATCTACAGACATGTGGAGATCAATGTGTATATACAGAGGTATCTATTTATGTATGTTCATAGGTTAAAAAACCATAAGGCCAGACCAGTATTTCCAATTCCAATCCAATACCTCGAAGCTCGTTCTAGCCTTACCTTTCAGTATTAGTAAATTCCTTTTCCAACTGTGAGGAAATGTGGCTCTCGTTATACTCACTGTTTTGTTTCTTTGTTTGTATGTTTGTTTTTGAGATGGAGTCTTGCTCTGTCACCCAGGCTAGAGTACACTGGCCTGATCTTGGCTCACTGCAATCTCTGCCTCCCATGTTTGAGAGATTCTCCTGCCTCAGCCTCCCAAGTAGCTGGGACTACAGGCATGTGCCCCCACGCCCAGCAAATTTTTGTATTTTTTAGTAGAGACGGGGTTTCACCATGTTGGCCAGGCTGGTCTTGAACTCCTGACCTCAGGTGATCCACCCACTTCGGCCTCCCAAAGTGCTGGGATTACAGGCATGAGCCACTGCACCTGGCTATACTCACAGTATTATTTGCTTAATCAACCTGTGATGTATGCCAGCCATCCCCTTGGCCCTGATCCTACCTCTGCCACCTCAGCCCCCACCCACCTAGCTACCTCCAAAGGAAGGGAAGAGAAGAGGAGGATCCTGGCAATCTTTATGCATGCTTATGTTTGAGAAGCACTTTGAATAGCACAGCTCTACAGTTCCTGTCTCCACGGCCTCACTTTATTTTTTTTTCCTGTTAGAATATTTTCGATGAGCATACATTACTTTCATAATCATTTTTTAAAAATCAAAAAGTATTTAAATTCTATAGCTATCATTTTATGAAACATAGGGTTTCACATATTGAGTTTTCTTAACCTTAAAAGATAGATTTTTACTTATATTCTAGTAACCTTTGAAACTATGAGGTCTTATATTTGGAACAGATACCTGACAATGAAATTGCATAGTGCTATAATGACCAAATATGTACTCTAAGAAGTCATTCTGCTTTGAATGAGATCAAGTCTGGAGGTAAAACTATAGTGAAGGCATTTGGTGGGTAGAAATTGAGCATCACTATCGCTTCGTTCTAGTAAGCAAGGGTAGCTAATACATATCTTACTTCCTTGTGGCTAACTAAAAATAGGAGAAAAAGGATTCTGGGCAGAAAGAGAATAAGAGTACGTAAAAAGCACTATTTTGTAAACATACCAAATTTTTCCGATGTTTCCTCATCAGGAAAGTGCCGGCCTGCAAGATTTAATATCTTCAGAGAAATAAAATTTGGCAAAATGGCAACTATGAAAGGGAAAATAAAAATTTAGTTATGTTCGCTACATCTCTCACAGCAAAGCGTAACATCTTTAAAATGAAGAAATTAGAAATTAATGTAATAATTCGGATTGAATTCATATGACTAAGTAGATAAAACAAATTTTTGCTCAGAAAATAATATAGATAACTAGAAATGTCATTAAAATTCTAGAAATTTCAAATCCAACTGAACTTAAAGGTAAAAAGGAAAATTCTGGAAACACATATACTTTATTATTTAAGAAACAATTTTTCTCTTTTTTTCTTTCTTTTTTTAAAGAGACAAGGTCTCTGTCACCAAGGCTGGAGTGCACTGGTACCATCACAGCTCGCTGCAACCTCAACCTTCTGGGCTCAAGGAATCTTCCTGCCTTCTTCCCTAGTAGCTGGGATTACAGGTACCACTGTGCCCAACTGATTTTTTAAAAACTTTTCAGAGATGGAGGACTTGTTATGTTGCCCAGACTGGTCTCAAACCCCTGACCTCAAGCGAGCCTCCTGCCTCAGCTTCCCAAAGTGCTGGGATTACAGGCATGAGTCACCACACCCAGCCTCAAAATATGGCTCTTTTTAAAGAGTGGTTAATATGACTCTGTGTCCATAGAAACATCTTAAACTACAATTGTAATATTATAACTCTTACCAAATGGGACGGCTTCAAAAAATGAACCCGAAAACTTAATTTCTGTGAGTTTCTTACAGGAAGCAAGTACAGTCATGAGAGACTCAAAATCCGAAAAGAAGTTACACTTCAGATGGAAAACATGAAGGTTTGGAGAATTTTGAATCAATTTTACTGTAAAAGATCGAGGATTTTCAGAAATTAGAAAATACTGCAAATTTCTATCAAAATTAGCCAAGTAGTTTATTATTTTGTTTCAATAATACTGACTTAAAACCAGCTACCACGATGTCATGATCTAAGAATCAGGTCACTGGACTTGGGTTCAGGTTCTGCAACTAACAACTGATGTGAATTTTGACACATTATTGACCCTCTCTGGATAACAGTTTTCTCTTCTATAAAATACAGGCATTGACTCAGTAGCATCACCTTCAGCTTTAACATCTAATAACTCTAAGTTTGTACATGACATTTGCACAATAAGAATACTGTACAAAGAGGCCAGGTGCGGTGGCTCACGCCTGTAATCCCAGCACTTTGGGAGGCCGAGGCAGGTGGATCACCTGAGCTCAGGAGTTCGAGACCAGCCTGACCAACATGGTGAAACCCTGTCTCTACTAAAAATACAAACATTTGCCGGGCGTGGGTGGCAGGCGCCTGTAATCCCAACTACTCAGGAGGCTGAGGTAGGAGAATCACTTGAACCCAGGAGGCAGAGGTTGCAGTGAGCCGAGATCGCGCCACCAAACTCCAGCCTGGACAACAGAGCAAGACTGCATCTCAAAAAAAAAAAAAAAGAATACTACACAAAGAATACTGTAATCCTAGCACTTTGGGAGGCCGAGGCGGGCGGATCACCTGAGGTCAGGAGTTTGAGACTGGCCTGGCCAATATGGTGAAACCCCGTCTCTACTAAAAATATTAAAAAATTAGCCAGGCTTGGTGGTTGATGCCTGTAATCCCAGCTACTTGGGAGACTGAGGCAGGAGAATTGCTTGAACCCAGGAAACGGAGGTTGCAGTGAGCCAACACGGTGCCACTGCACTCCAGCCTGGGCGACAGAGTGAGACTCTATCTCAAAAAAAAAAAAAAAAAAAGAAAGAAAAAGAAACATAAAAGGAATGACAACTCTGAAGCAAAACCTAAATTTGTTGCAAAAATTGCTGACAAATATAACTACCACCTCCAGCTTCGATGTATTATACATACACACACACACACACACACACACACACACACAAAAGTTTCACTGTTGTTCCCCAGGCTGGAGTACGATGGTGCAATCTCGGCTCACACTGCAATCTCTGCCTCCCGGGTTCAGGCAATTCTCCTGCCTCAGCTTCTCAAGTAGCTGGGATTACAGGCATATGCCACCATGCCAGCTAATTTTTGCATTTTTAGTAGAGACAAGGTTTCACCATGTTGGTCAGGCTGGTCTCGAACTCCTGACTTCAAGTGATCTGCCCTTCTCGGTCTCCTAAAGTGGTGGGATTACAGGCGTGAGCCATCATACCCGGCCTATATTAGGGATTAAGAAACTCAGATTTTAGAGTCAATATTCCTCTATTTGAGTCACAGATCTACATTTCCTTAGCTGGATATTACAAATTACTTAATCTCTTTATGTCTCAGTTTTCCCAGCTACAAAAGAGCATTAGTAATAGTACTTTACTTCATAGAGTGAGTATGAAGACTGAGTTAATATTTGTGAAGTGCTTAGGACACTTCCTAGTGTGTAGTAAAGGCTCAATAATTACAAATAGCGCTCTGCTTTCTTAATGAGAAAGAGTGCTATTCCTCACAATTTACCATGGATACAGGCTACACCCTTAGAACCACAGGAACTTTAACTCTTAAGTAAATTATTGGCCAAGTAGCTTTTCCAACCGATGTAAAAAACAAGCATATTAAAGTGCCATCCTTACCTAGTTTGGAAGGATCACAGTCAGCTGAAATTTGAATCAATAATTTCTCCATATGGTGGAAGTTTGGAAATTCTTCAGGAATGACTGAAAAAACATTTATGTTGCCCTTCAGATCCACTGACAGTTCTTTCAGGCACAGGAACTTATCCAGATTAGGAAAGATTTGGTCTGGAAAACAGCACACAGTTTCCCATTATTAATCTAAAGAGTTCTGAATGGACATTTTAAAACTGTCATTTTGATTCATCCAGCTATTTTCACATGCAAACCTTCCACATACCATAAAACATTTTTTTTACAGAGTACACCTATTGAGATATTGCAGTTTGCAGCATTTACTGATTACGTACTGTGTGGGAAGCCCTGTGCTACTCTTTAGACTTACAGAAAGAAATATAGCATTTCGGCCAGGCGCGGTGGCTCACACCTGTAATTCCAGCACTTTCGGAGGCCGAGGTGGGCAGGTCATGAGGTCAGGAGTTCGAGACCAGTCTGGCCAACATAGTGAACTCCTGTCTCTACTAAAAATACAAAAAAAATTAGCTGGGTGTGGTGATGTGCATCTGTAATCCCAGCTACTCAGGTGGCTGAGGCAGGAGAATCATGTAAACCTGGGAGACGGAGGTTGCAATATCTAGATAATAGGCAAATTCATAGCGACAGAAAACAGAAGAGAAGTTATCAGGGGCTGGTGGGAGGGAAGATTTTTTAATTTTTATTATTATTGTTTTTTGAGATGGAGCCTCACTAGGTAGCCCAAGCTGGAGTGCAGTGGCATGATCTGAGCTCACTGCAACCTCCGCCTCCCAGGCTTAAGTGATTCTCATGCCTCAGCCTCCCGAGTAACTGGAACTACAGGTACATGCCACCACGCCAAGCTAATTTTTTGTATTTTAGTAGAGACGTGGTCTCTAACTCCTGAGCTCAGGCGATCCACCCTCCTCAACCTCCCAAAGTGCTGGGATTACAGGCGTGAGCCACCGCACCCGGCCCGGAGATTTATTGTTTAATGGGTAGAGTCTGGGATGATGAAAAGGTTCTGGAGATGGATAGTGGTGATGGTTGTACAACATAGTGAATGCACTTAATGCCACCGAGTTGTACACTTAAAATGATTAAAATGTAAGTTTTGTTACATGTATTTTACCATAAGAAAAAAGTACTTGAAAAAAGATGAAAAATGTTCTAAATTTGGTAAATGTCAACCTACACATCCCAAGAAAGTTCAGTGTACCTCAAGCAAGATGTATAAAAAGCAAAGCCCACCTAGGCAGGTAACAGTCAAACCGCTGAAGACCAAAGCAATACTAGCAACAATTAGAAAATGAAAAAATATTTGTAATGACATTTACAACACATTCAAAAGATGTGAGTATCTAGGAATAAATTTAATGAAAGATGGGTAAAGTCTACACTGAAAACTATCAAATAGTGCTTAGAGGAGTTAAGACACAAATAGGTGAAGATGTTATTTCCCATTAATTTATTTATTTCCCAGGGACTATAGGTCTTTCTTCCTTTAGGCAGCTAGGGTGAAGGTAATTTCTAAGCATCATCTCACATATAGCTAATTCTTTTAATAATAACAAATAATTCATGTCTTTATTAAGAGCCTTCAATAATTTGTTTATTTATTTTTGAGACAGTCTCGCTCTGTCGCCCAGGCTGGAATGCAGTGACACAATCTCGGCTCACTGCAAGCTTCGCCTCCCGGGTTCACGCCATTCTCCTGCCTCAGCCTCCCGAGTAGCTGGGACTACAGGTGCCCACCACCACGCCCGGCTAATTTTTTTGTATTTTTAGTAGAGACGGGGTTTCACTGTGTTATCCAGGGTGGTCTCGATCTCCTAACTTGTGATCCACCCGCCTCGGCCTCCCAAAGTGCTGGGATTATAGGCATGAGCCACGGCGCCCGGCCCCTTCAATAATTTAATGTAAATATTTTATTCATTTTATCTAAGTTATTTGAAAACCATTCAGTTATTCAGGGACTTTTCACTAATTCATGCTACTGTCAAAAAAACATTAGTGAAGGTTTATTTTATATCTATTCTGTCAATGAGCATTCATGCTTTCATGGCCTCAGAAGTTTTCAACCACTTAAAGTAAGAAAAAGAAATTACACATCAGAATAGTCATCCAAAATATATACAGGTATACCTTGTGACTGGATTGTCCCTGAGATTTCAAGAGATTCCAGGGAAGGCAGGGTGAGAAGCAGTTCCTCTTCGGCTGCGCTGAGTTCCAATTTGCTTATGGAGCACTTGGTGACAGAGGCCTTAGACAGCTCAAGAGCTGGGCGGATGCTTTCAATAAAGCCTCCGCTGTGGTTTAAATGGAGTTCGATGCGCTGTGAAGCTGAGAAAACTGTCATTAGAATCTCGAGCATCTCCTGGTCTACAGCATCAATATCATTCACATGGACTTCCAGACAAGGAATCTTGTACTGCTTTGGAGAAAGTTTCCAATAGCCAGTACTAAGGTCTGGTGGTGCCGTGCGCTGGATAGCCATATAGCTCTTTACGTTATCCTCTTTTTCAGCTAAATTTTGCTCCCATTCATTCATAGGTTCAAAGGCAGAAGCATAGTCCTGATCTATAGTTGGTGCCTGTGATTTGTCCAAACATGCTTCCAGAACTGAAAAATCGCATCTGGGTGATGTCTTCTTGCCATTTATCGAGACGTGGATGCTCCTCAGCAATGACAAGCTTTCTGGGTGGTCGAAAAAGTACTGTAAGTTAAGTACTTTCAAAGTCAGTGTTCTCCCTTGAAGGAATTGCAAAACAAATGGAGAACACGCAGCAACAGTGTTGCTTTGATAAGCAATTTGCAGGGCAAGAACCAGTAAATGTTCTGAAACCATTGAAAAGTAAGCTTGTGGACACATTTGCCACAATCCCCTAATTAACTGCATCTTCAGTGAAATTTCTGGCTGGTGCTTTAAGTAGTCATCATTTTCAGATATATTCTCCAATGACTCTTTGTTATCCACTAAATGGAGCAAATGAGACACAATTTTGGGCCCTGCTTTTGTTGAAGGGAGGCTGGAGACATAGTTCAAAAAATTGTTGTAGGCGCTTACAGTCATCATGGGTGAGTTGATTTGTGTCAAATAATACAGTCCCAAATCTTGATGTTCCTGCCTATCTGAATCCAGGAGTTCTATCAGCCTCATCCCCGCAAGAAATTCTTGGAAGGCAGGACTTAAAAACTGGTAGGATGGTCTTAGTCTCTGGGCTGTAAATTTGCTCATCAAGCACATGGTTAGATCTTCATCTTCATCAACCCCTGCTTCTGTGAGATCATCATCATTAAACTCAAAGCAACATGAAAAAAACCCTTTCAAGGCCAGCTCACCACAGGAGGATACAGTTGCTTTGAGAAGTTCAGCTGCCACTTTGTTCCTTAAGAAAAGGCGTTCCATATAGGATTTGAAAACAGCCACATCATAAAAGGATGGGTCAAAAGGATACTGAAACCAATGAGCACAGACCGCCACCACAAAGAGAGGAGTTTTCTGAATCTTCTGCAAACTTTCGTTCTTTCTAAAGTAAATCATAAACTTTTGCAGACGAGTCATATTATGTGAAAAGAGTTTCCGTAATATAAAGATAGTATTATAAAAGGGAAATGCTTTGATCTCTAGAATCGTCTCTAGGTATCGGCGGATGTCCCTGGCCCTGTCTGTACGGACAGCAATCAATAGGCAGGTCCGTGACAAGTGGTTTTTTTGAATCAGTTTTCCTATGACTTGAGGGACTGAACATATTTCTTTGTAGTCATCTAAAAGGAATAAGACCTGATTCTTCAACTGCTGGAGGATGTTTCTCATGCACATTTCAGTAACAGATACTTCTTTCTCTAGGAGTTGGTCACAGATGATACTGACCAGCCCCTGATCTGGTCTGGTGGAACTAAGGGAGAGGTAGAAAACCAGCTGGAACCTGTTTAACAGGGGACAGCATCCAGACGCCCACAGAAAAGCTATTTTCTTCAGGAGAACCGTCTTTCCACTTCCAGCTTCACCCTCCACACACATGACAGAGTTCAAGCTGGCAAAAACCTCAGGCAGCACCAGGGGCTCCTGCACAGGTTTGCTGATGTGTTTTGAAGCCATGGACAGATCACAGCCCAGCAAGTGGTCTGTGGCCAGATCGGAAGAGATATCAAGCAAAGACATGTGGCGGAAACTGGCGCTGGTATAAGCTGCTCTCAGCTGCTCATTCAGATTCTTCGCCTCTTGAAACCACTGGGCTTCACCCTGTGCCACTTCTGTAGAGAAAAGAAAGGGGAAACAACGGGGATACATAGTCACATCTCCCTCAGTCTCAACACCATGCCCTTTTCACTCCATGATTCTGCCTGTCTACTACAAATGTGCTAGGACTTTCCACAGCCATCCACGATTCCCACATTGCGATCATCTCATAGGTTTTGGCACAAAATCAGAATGTGGGAAGCACGTGTCCAAAGTGCCCCACTTGAAACAGGGACCTTGACTTAATGTGTGCTTATCATAAGCACCATGGTATCCTATAGTTTCCCATTTAAAACATCTCAGGAAAGAGGCCAGGCAAAGTGACTCAGCACTTTGGGAAGCCGAGGCAGGTGAATTGCTTGAGCCTAGGAGTTCAAGACCAGCCTGGGCAACATGGCAAAACCCTGTCTCTACAAAAAATACAAAAATTAGCCAGGTGTGGTGGCACATGCTTATGGTCCCAGCTACTGGGGAGGCCGAGATGGGAGGATCACTTGAGCCTGGGAGGTCGAGGCTGCGGTGAGCCGTGATCTTGCCATTGCATTCCAGCCTGGGTGACAAAGACCCTGTCTCAAATAAAATAAAATAAAATTAATAAAAATAAAAATCTCAGGAAAGAAGCTTGCTGATTGGTGCTTCTAAGGACTGGTTTGCTTGTACCTGAGACACGTTGCCTACTATCAGTTTGGTCCTGCCCGCACTCTGGAGAAGCCACAAGAACCTTGACTTTTGCTCATACACGACACTGTTGCAAATGCTGTTCCTCTTTGGAAGCTCTTTGAACAATTATAAATACTCTTTTTTTGCAACTGCCCTGTATACAAACATATTTACACATACATATAATCCTACATGCTACTTCAAAGTTCTTACCTGGCACTATAGGATCAACTGCTATTGAATCTTCAAGATGGCTTTCACTTGTGGTTTCCTTTGGAAAATAAAATCCTTTCTTAAATCAAAATTTATATAGGAGGGTGGTGCATCATGTTATAATCACTGGGGACTAAACATCTTCTAAACACAGCCCACCCTCAAATATTTATGCTGACTGAAGGGAAGGGTGCTGCAAATATAAAACAATTAATAATCTGCAAACATCTGCAAGAGTGTGTGTTCCTCAGTAGTTCATATATGATACAATCCATAGATGAATACTATTCAAGTAATGAGAATCATAGTGTCTAGAGCAAGAAGGATCCTCAAAAGTCATTAGGTGTACCCTCTGTCCTTGGTTAACCACATTTTCAGTATTACACATCTGGGATTTAGAAAGGTTATGTTTCTTCCTTAAAAAATAAGCTATTTCTGGCCGGGCGCGGTAGCTCAAGCCTGTAATCCCAGCACTTTGGGAGGCCGAGATGGGTGGATCATGAGGTCAGGAGATTGAGACCATCCTGGCTAACACAGTGAAACTCCGTCTCTACTAAAAAATACAAAAAACTAGCCGGGCGAGGTGGCGGGCGCCTGTAGTCCCAGCTACTCGGGAGGCTGAGGCAGGAGAATGGCGTAAACCCGGGAGGCGGAGCTTGCAGTGAGCTGAGATCCGGCCACTGCACTCCAGCCTGGGCGACACAGAGAGACTCCATCTCCAAAAAAAAAAAAAAGCTATTTCTATATCCCTAAACTTTTTTCTTTAGTACCATTTTTCAATTCACATAAAAAATGAATCAAGTGAATAGCAAGTGGGTTTGTGTGTGTGGGGTGGGGGGATGACAAACATACCTAACACACAGCCTCAAAATAAGGTGGTATGTGTGTGCATTACATCAGTAGTGGCTTATATTCCAGAAAACTATGTAGGATTTCTCAGCTTAAAGTGGTCAGCCTATTACCTGGGTTTATGATTTTCTTGGGCACTTGCTTTTGTTAAAGTAACATCTTCTCAACCCCTAAAAAGGCCAAGTAGCAAATCCAGCCTTATTGCCCTCCAAATGAAGATCCAGAGATGATTCATTTAGTCTGGATGCTAATCAACGAAGTCTAAGAGAGTCTAGGCCTTAAAGTAGAAGAGACCGACTATACATTTCACGAAGCTAGGTATTGTGCCTGACTGGTTTATTGTGATTTCCCCAATCTGTACCTAGAACATAATAGGTGTTTAGTAGATTTTTGTAGAATTTATTAACTTATTTATGATGAGACATTCCTGTTCAAAACAGTTTTCAATTACATGATCATGTGCTACTAAAACAGACAAGATGGTGGTGATCATTACCGGTAATTCACAAACTTCATCAGGGCTCTGAAGGTCTGGAATCACTTCCACAGAGGACTTCATATTTTGGAGAAATGGACAACTACGTGTAAAAGTTAAAAGTTATAAAAATAGTTGTATGCATTTAAGTATTTGTGTTAGATTTTTTTGTTGTTTTGTTTTGTTTTGTCAGAGAGAGGGTCTCACTATGTTGCCCAGGCTGTTCTGGTTTCCAACTTCTGGCCTTGAGCAATCCTCCTCCTTAGGCACCCCAAAGTGCTGGGATTATAGGTGTGAGCCACCACGTCTGGCCTTGTATTTAGGTTTTTAAAAACACTATTAGAGTTTTAGTGACAAGAATTAAGTACAAAACTATTATTTCCAGTGATTTCTCTGTCAGTGTCATCAGGTAAGGCATTTAGGTTGTGGCACTCTGCAAGAGAAACATAAATGGTTTATAAAGTAATGGTAAAGATATCAAGGGAATTTGGTGGAATGAGTGCATATTTAACACTTTTCCATGCAACCAACAAAAATGAACTTAAAGAATCAAAAATAGAAAAAAAAAAAAAAAAACAACTATGAATTCTGGAACAAAAAAACCACATTAGTGGAAAAACTGGTGAAATCCAAATAAAATCTGGATTTTAGTAAATAGTAATGTACAGTATATGAATTGGTACATTGATGATTTTGACAAATATATCATGCTAGTGTAAGATGTTAGCATTAGGGTAAATTGGGTATGGCAATATATAGGAAGTCTTTGTATTACTTTGCACTTTTTCTGTAAATCTAAATAATTTCAAATAAAAATGTATTTAAAAAGAAAAAACAAAAAACTCTTGAGTGAGGTGGTTCATGCCTGTAATCCCAGCACTTTGGGAGGCCAAGGCGGGCAGATCACTTGAGGCCACAAGTTTGAGACCAGCCTGGCCAACATGGCAAAACCCTGTCTCTATTAAAAAGAAAATTCAAAAATTAACCAGTTCAAGTGATTCTTGTGCCCCAACCTCCCAAGTAGCTAGGACTACAGGCTTGAACCCGGGAGGCGGAGGTTACAGTGAGCCGAGATTGTGCCACTGCACTCCAATCTGGGTGATGGAGTGAGACTCTGTCTCAAAACAAAACAAAACAAAAAAACAAACAAGGCCGGGCATAGTGACTCATGCCTGTAATCCCAGCACTTTGGGAGGCTGAGGCGGGTGGATCACTTGAAGTCAGCAGTTTGAGACCAGCCTGACCAACATGGTGAAATCTCATCTCTACTAAAAATACAAAAATTAGCCAGGCGTCATAGTGGATGCCTGTAATCCCAGCGACTTGGGAAGCTGAGGCAGGAGAACTGCTTGAACCCAGGAGGCAGAAGTTGAAGTAAGCCAAGATTGCGCTATTGCACTCCAGTCTGGGCAACAGGAACGAAACTGTCTCAAAAACAAACAAACAAACAGAAAAAAACCAACCAACCACAAACCACTCCATTGCCAGGTGCAATGACTCATGCCTGTAATCCCAGCACTTGGGGAAGCCGAAGTAGGAGGATCGCTTGAGGCCAGAAGTTCAAGACCAGACCAACCTGTGCAACATAGAGAGATCTCCTCTAAAAATTAGCTAGCGGGGTGGCATGTATGTATAGTCCCAGCTACTTGGGGGGGCTGAGGCAAGAAGATCGCTTGAGGCCAGGAGGCTGAGGCTACAGTGAGCCGTGACTGCATCACTGCACTCCAGCCTGGGTGACAGAGGAAGACCCTGTCTTAAACAAACAAAAAATTAAAAAAGAAACTCTCCATCAGTATCAAAACAAAAGAATGGCCACAAACATACTCTCTAAATTTGCCAATCTCGTGTAACTAGGATGCAAATACCCTCTAAACTCAGGTTTGATGTATGCTTAAAGAACAAGAGAGAAAGTTTAAAAAGATCCCTAGTTGCAATTATTAAAATGGACAGATGAGAACTATACATGTGAGTAAGTTAGTGGCCCATTCCATGCTGCAGAATCACAGGAAAGCAGGAATAAAGCAAAGAGATACTTTTTTTTTTTTTTTTTTTTTT